GATGACAATGCCTGCTGGGGAGGATTTCAGGCAGTAGGGCCAGTGCAGGCTGGTGAAAGCAGACCCGGGGAAGGAGCTAGCCTTCCGACTGTGTTGGGGGGAGGATAGAACTGGGGTTCAAAGGTACCAGACCCTTGTGAGTTGTTCTCCACTCAGGACGGGTGGAAATCTCACAACTTCAACTTCTGTAGAAAGATTCCGGACGTCTTGGGCCGCAGCCAAACCAGCCAGAGCCCTTCTAGTTTTGGAATGCAGTCTGGATGCAAACTCTGGACGTTGGGTTCAGAGCTGGGGCTTTGAATCTGAATCCCCCCAGCCCCTGAAACCGAAGCGGGTCTGATTTGATACTCTAGCGGAGCGAGGACTTTCAGTAGCTTTGCAGGACCCGCAATGCGCCCCTCTTGCAAGAACCCTTGATGCCTGCTTTCTCCCGCCTTCCCTTGTGCCTGAGTTTTATCAGATGTGTTGCAGGCAGGCAGGAGGATGTAAAGTCCTGTGGGCTTTCCTAAGGAGCTGGCGCGCACTCAGACAGCTGCGGCTCAGTCCCGCCCGGGCTGGGACAGACTGCGGTGTGACTTGGGCCCAATCGCCCATTACTTTAAATTATAGCTTCTCTTGTTTAATAGCATGTGGGAGGGGCCAGAGCACTCTCGAAATCCAGCTGGATGTCTTCCAAAAACCTGCCCCACGGAAGCCCAAAGAGTGTGTATTCTCTAATCACCTTTCCAGGCCCCTAAAAATTCTATGCGGAGGAAATGGGGCTATAAAAGCGGGTTGCTCCTACGGGGTTTTGCTGGAGGGCCCGCTCCCTAGGAAAGAACAGAGAATCTGCTCCCAGAAAGGAAAATCTCCGTCTCATCGGTCTCCTTCCGCAGAGGTGAGCTGCATTTTCAAGTATTAGACGGTGCCAGCAGCAGTCAGGAAACCCACAACTGCTAATGGTTTTCTTCCCCCGTGCGCGTGATTTGCAGAGGAAGCTCCGACTCTAGAGCTCTTAGCTCTTCTGCTGGTAATTGAGCAGATTTCCTTTGTGCTCCTCGACCCCTCCGGAAGGGATTTCTGGTTCCTTGTTTATGTTGGCAACGTTGCTGGCTTCCATCAGTGAAAGTTCCATCTCCTAGATACCAAGGTCATCCAGCGAAAGAAAACACATCGGCACCAACCACGGCAGCTCCCTGTTCCGAACAGATGTGGAGAAAGAAGCCCCCTAAGAGTCCACCCAACAAATTATTTCCATATCATGAGTATTTCCTATCCAGCCTCCTGATCACAGACGTGCTCGAGCTTATGTCGCAGCCCAGGCAGAATCATGAAGCGCAGATTGTCCTGTTCTGATGCCTGCTTGCTTTTGGCATCAGCAGGGCTGGGCTTATTTTGAAACCAAACTCAGTCGCTGGTGCACTGCATGGAAGGAGCCAGCGTTCCTCGGTGAAAGTTATCTCCAGCCTGTGAGAAACTGGAAGGACAGATTAGAAAATAAATGAGTGCCAGGGGCCAGGAGAATGCGTTTCAGCGTGGCTGCTGCATGCCTTCCGAAGGACAGCAAGCTGGCTCTGAGACATCAGTAGCCTGTGTGACAGGGCCACGGTGAGATGTCACTGCTCATCACAGGCTTTGTCTGCACTTCAAAAACGAAAGCGCAGCCACGGCAGAAGCGCTAGGAGAGAGCTCTCCCCATGCCCTGTGCAAACCACCTCCCAGAGCCCGTTGACACTGGTGCTTTACAGCACTTTAACTTGCTGCACTGAGGGGGGCGGGGTTCACACCTCTGAGCTGGAAGGTGGCAGTGCAGTAAAGTGGCCGTGTGGAGGTAGCCATAAGCGCAGTGTCAGAGGTGAATGAGGTGATACCCATGAATACAGGGCCAGTATTTCAAAGGTAATCACCCAAGTGGGCAGGTAGAATGTGCGCCCTGTTTCTCCTACAAAACAGGTCACTGGATGAGTAAAATGCGGGACTGCACACACGTGTGTGTGCTTGTAGGCACAGTGCATTCCAATGCAAATATCTTGGACGTGAGTGAAACAAAGTCAGTTGAAAATCAGTCCTGTACAGTCTGTATAGCACATTCAGATGCCACCCAAACTCACATGAGAGAGTCTTATCTTGCCTCCATCACTGCGGTATCTCAGCACTTTCCTGTAACATGACAGCACTTTCCTGTAGCACAATCCTGTAGCAAAAGGACATGGCTAACAGCTGTCATGAGTAGCTTAGGGCTTGTCTTCACTACACAGATTGCCGCTGCTCCGATTGATCTTCTGGAGTTCGATTTAGCGAGTCTAATTAAGACTTGATAAATTGAACTCAGAGGGCGCCCCTGCTGGCGGCAGGTACACCTCCTTTTGGGAGGAGTAAGAGAAGCTGATGGGAGTGTTTGCGTCCACTGGCCTTCCACTGTGAGGACGCTACTGCCAAGCTCGGCTTAAAGTAAGCCAACTCCAGATATGTATTCTTCATAGCTGGGGTTATGTACCTGATGCTGAGCTGCTGGGTCTGGTGTAGACCTGGCCTTATTCTCTCATCCTCTCCCCAGAGAAAGATGTGTGTGTGCAGGGAAGTATGTTGGGGTTTGGTAGGGCTTTGTTAATGTACCTGCTGCTTTGTGTGTGTCTGAATATGTCCTGTCTTAGGGCCAGATTCTCCCAGTCTTAATAATGTGGAATAGAATCTTGCTACTCCCATTAAAATCACTGGAATTAATTGTGGCATAGGGAATGTATCACACAGCGTAAAAGTGAATGTAGACGGTTAGTTCTGGGGGATAATGACAGTGCCTTATCTCCGGGTCACAGCGCTCCAGTGGACTCTTTGCATTGCCTCGTGTTTTGTAGCAGTGTTTCTCAACCTTTTTTTTATAAAGTACCCCCCTTAAAAAAAATTGTCAATACCCTCAGTACCTACAGTTTTCAGACACACAATTTTTTTTTCTACCACTGCAACACATTTGTTTAAACAATTTAATCGTAGCCGGGTGGGCGATTACATTTTTGGGTGTAAAAAGTACAAAAAGAATAAAGCGCTGTAAAACTTAAAACAAAAATTCCGTTTTCTCCAAATGTCGGTTGTATTTACGTACCCCCCAGACTTCTCTCGAGTACCACTAGGGTACTCGTAGCACTGGTTGAGAAACACTGTTTTATAGTAACTCTGCCAGTTCCCGGCCTGATTGTGCTGACATTCTGTAGGAGCTGAAATCTGTGAGGCTCAAGCCAGAACCAGGCCGTTAGTGGGACTAGCCTCTCAAAAAGATGCCAAATGCCAAAACGGAGATGTACTTGGTGTGAAGGAGAGATCTGGGAAACTAAACAGTCTGGCAAAAAACATCAGGGCTTACACCAAACATATTTTGCAGAGTCAAATCATGATTCAGTTAATTTTCCTGCAGGGAGATCAGACTCGTTTCACCAAATTACAGCTGCAGAGCATTGCCAAAAGACTTGTCTGGTGCCTGTGTTTTCTGGGTATTTTCTTACTTTGGCTTCGTCTACACTTTGTAGTTTTAAAGCATAGTCACTGCAGAGCTGCTGTGGCAGCACTTTAAACTGAAAGATGCAGCCACAGCATGAGCACTAGGAGAAAGATCTCCCGGGCCCTGCATAAACCACTTCCCCAAGGGGAGTAGCTACCAGTAGTGGGAACACAGCTCCCAGAACTGTAGCCTGGTTCTCACTGGCACTTCACAGCGCTGTAACCTGCGGCACTGGGGCGGGGGGAGAGGGTTTCACACCCGTGAGCCAGAAAGTGACAGCACTGTAAAGTGCCAGTGTAGATTTAGCCGCAGATGGTTGTTCACAGATGCACTGAGTTTGAAAGGGATGCCTTGGCTGCTCTTCCTGTTGTGGGGTGGAGCGGCAGGTTGCAAAACAGGTGGGGAGACTGTTTGATCTTCCCTCCACCTTTACCCAGTGCTTTGGGCGTTGCCTGTGAAACTGATTTGGAGACAGCCGCAGTTGTGAGTAAGCAAGGCAGGGACATTTCCTATTAGTAGTGAAGGGACAGAACAGGCTGGGCAAGAAAAGAGACGCAGGGAGGAGTCCTTGTCTTTAGAGCCCACAGCCCACCCTACCTTGAATAATGAAATAAAAGCTTTCCTGTGCAGACTAATCATAATCTGTTGTAATGTAGCCTGACCAAGAGCCAACCTTAGCCAAACACGGGACACTGTTATCTGGTTGGTTAAAATAACTTTATTCCAGTAACAGGCTGGTTTTTCACAAGGTGATCCTCTAAACTGAAGATCATTGCTGCCACGATTGATCTTTCAGAGTTTGATTTAGTGAGTCTAGTTAAGACTCACTAAATCAAAGTCAGAGGGCACTCCTGCCAGCAGCTGGAACTCCTGCTTCTGTGAAGAGTAAGGGAAACTGACAGGAATGTTTTGCTCCTGTCGGCCTCCCACTGTGGGGATGGTGGGGAAACTCGAAACAGATACGTCAACTGCAGCTACGTAATTAACGTATCTGTAGTGGCTTATCTTGATTTGACCTGCCCCTTTAGTGTAGACCTGGCTACATTCCCAGTAGAGGCAGCAAAGTGCTTTATGGAGCCTGCTGTTCCTGCCTGAGAGATAATGTTGTGTAGCAGTGCACGGTCTTGCCCTGCAATTCACGTTCCACCCAGTAATGTGTCAACTCCAGGAGGAAGTGGCTTGTGCAGTAGATGCTCCTGCGTCCAGTAACTATGAGTTTACAAGAGTTCATTTCTTCTGAGGAACTGCGAGAGCTGAACCGTGTTAGTAACGTGTATCCTGATAGCCAGGAAGTGACACGTCTCATCTTCCTGCCTCATTCGCATGTATCCTCTGTATGACTGCAGCACCTCAGAGCCCTCATCATGGGCCAGGTGGCAGGTGCTCTACAAACACAGGACTCGCTGACAGCTTCGGGCTGGCGACCCTGCTGAGTTGCACAACTGCCCAGCCCCCTAGAATTTAGTGGTGATCTTTCACTGTCCCCCCTGCTCCTCTAGTAAATAACTGGGCTGTGGGTCTTTTGCAGGTGGTGACCTTTGATGCGGGAGGAGTGAGCGGCCACGCTAACCACATCGCCCTGTTTGCTGCTCTAAGGTACAGTGTGTCGAGCAGCCCCCAGGCGCCTGGCTGAAATGCTGTTTGAAACAGAGTGCATGTGGTGACTAGCTAGAGCCAAGGACTCGGTGGACTTCCCCAGGGCCCCTCAGTCCCGACCTGCAGCACCCTCACTGCTATGCCAGTTGTGGGAACTCCCCCAGACTCTGCAAATGCACTGATGACTGGGGATGTTAAATATCGGTTAGCCGAACAGCCATGAATTCTTATCGGTTACTCGACTGTTCTATAGTCCGCAGGGGTGAGGCTTGGCCGCCAGTGCGCCCTGGCCCCATTCCCGAGGAGGCCCTGCCACTCCATGCTGCTGCCTCTGTATCAGAGGCAGCAGTGCAGGGTGCCAGGCGGGAGCTGGTCCGTGCGGGGAGCCAGTTTAAAAACCAGCCCCCCTTGCGGACCAGCTGCCAGGCGCCCTGTGCTGCTGCCTCTGATAGCGAGGCAGTAGCACGGACTGGTAGCAGCCCCTGTCTGGGGCGGGTATGAGCTCCCAGACCTGGCATGAACTGGAACTGAGCCGGGCTGTATGCCTGCCTCGCTCCTAATACACGCTCACTACGTCTAGACTGGCATGATTTTCCGCAAATGCTTTTAACGGAAAAGTTTTCCGTTAAAAGCATTTGCGGAAAAGAGCATCTAGATTGGCACGGACGCTTTTCCACAAAAGTACTTTTTGGCACGGACGCTTTTCCGCAAAAGCACTTTTTGCAGAAAAGCATCCGTGCCAATCTAGACGTGCTTTTCTGCAAAAAAGCCCCGATCGCCATTGTCGCGATCAGGGCTTTTTTGCGGAAAACAAACTGGAGCAGAATAGTATTTCCACAAGAAGCACTGATTTCTTACAGTAGGAAGTCAATGCTTTTGCGAAAATTAAAGCGGCCAGTGTAGACAGCTGGCAAGTTTTTCCACAAAAGCAGCTGCTTTTGCGGAAAAACTTGCCAGTCTAGACACAGCCTTTAAATGCAGAGCTTCAGTAGGGGTAGGTCCTGGACCTGGCGCAAGTCGGAACTGAGCTGGGCTGCTTGCTCACCCCAGTCCTAATACACTTGAAATGCAAAGCCGCAGAGGGGTAGGTCCTGGATCTGGCACGAGCCAGGACTGAGCCAGGCTGCTAAAACGTACTGGCGAGAGGGTGGGGAATGTGTGCGGTCTGTAGCATTAACCTAAATGCTTTTGCTTATCGGTTCATCAACTGCACTATTCCATCCCGACTTGTGGTGTGTGCATCCTCCTGGGCTCTCTGCTGGTGCCCCTCGGGGTGGACTTGCAAGCCTTTATTCTGCTGATCCTGTTCTGGGCCTTTGTGTCAGTGCACTGACTCCTACTTTGTGTTGTGCATGCGCTTTCACCAGAGCGTGCTGCACAACTGTGTCCCAGGTGCTCAGAGGGGGTTAGAAAAATGTCCGAAGGGAAGAGACACTGGTCCCTGACTGCCATCTCTTGCTGTGTAGCCGGCCTGCCCAGTTACAGAGCCGCTCTGCTTTCATTCACGGCACCCGGCAGGCGCACAGCTCTGGAGGGGTTACATTTTATTTGTAGTGTCGTCAGCTTGGGTTGGGGTTTTTTTTGGCAGCCCGTCTGACAGAGGAACTAGAGCATGACCACATCACTCATGGGTCCTGTGCCCTGACGAGTTCTCACACGTACAGCTTTCAGAGCGAGCTGCAGAGCATGTGCGGTGACCTTTCACACGTGCTGATGTTCCTGCCAGCTGCTCCCCTCCCCCTAATATTATTGCATTGGGGAAAAAGCAGCAAAGGGGCTGGATTAACCCTCTCCCGTCCCTGTCTCTGTCTCACGGTATTTTTATTGGATTGACATAGAAGATTAGACTTGGAAGAGAGCTCAGGAGATCATGTCGCCCAGCTTCCTGCTCAAAGCAGGGCCACCCCCAAGTAAACCCTCCCAGCCAGAAGTTAGCCTTTCAAAGGGTGTCCTGTCCATGGGGTGCTTTTCCAAAGAATTACATGATTTTGCACCCTGTTTGAGCCTGTCGCTTCTGGGGCAGATCTGCCTCATTCTCTCCCACACCGCGCTCCCGTCATGCTGCTTTTGTGGCTGGGCCAGCTGCTGCTCTTGCATGTGTCCAAGCCCCAGATTTGAGAAGCGCTATAAAATTCCAGGGCTAGTGGCGAGGATTTCTTTTTCTGCAAGAAACAAAAAAGCATCAGTTAGCATTTTGCTTGCAGTCCTCCTGTGGGGACTCCAAATGCAGCCCCTACACCAGTGGTCCCCAATGCGGTGCCCGTGGGTGCCATGGCGCCCGCCGGGGCATTTATGTGCACCCGCCTAGTGACCACGGCCGACCCGAGCCATTCTTGCGCCCTGGGTCCGGGGTGCACGGCGAATGCGTGGCCCTGCCCCCGGGCGCCCAGCAGCCCCAAAAGGTTGGGGACCACTGCCCTACACCCACAGAAAAGAGACTTCTTTTACAAAATTATTTTCACATGAAAAAGAATGAAAAGCTAGACAAAGTCCCACCCCATCTTCTTCCGGTGCCAGCGCTTGAGGATTCCTTGGAAGGAAGTCCGGAAAGAGCCCTCTCTTCTCCCCACCACGCTCCAAAGCCCCATGTTCCAGGAGCCCTTTCTCTGGCCAAGAGGGGCTGGAACATGCCGCGTGTCACTGTTAAGAGAGGGGACTTCAGAGATGCACCATGGTCCCTCCCCTTTTGCAGAGCTCCAGGTCCCTGATGGCTCAGATATTAAGCCACCAGCCGTATCCCAGTTTTTACCGTTGAAACGTGTGAGCATGTGAGGCTGTGCTCCTGCAAAGGGATAGGTCCTGGAAGCTGAAATCCTCCCACAAACAGGCCCGGTTTGGAGAACAGCAGCAAACGTTATCCCACCCTGCCCCCGGCTCCAGCCGAAACTTCAGAATCTAAAGGACATGAGGTTGAATCTTCATTGCCCATTGCGGAGACTGCCAAGTACACAGCCTGTTGGGGGGGAGTGGCACCTGTGGCTGATCGGAGACTCATCAGACTCGTTTTACACCCATCACATGGCACTAGTTGGCTTCGTTTCATAGCAAGCTTATCGTTCTGTGCTCCGTGGCTGACCGGTGGCCACGCAGCTCCTGCTGCTGGTCCAGGAAGAGCAAGCTAGTTGTGTTACAAGAGTTATTTCCACCTTCCAGCTGAGAGACAGGGCGGTGGAAAATGAGGAACAGAAGAGAAGAATGGGACTGATCGTTGTATTGCACTGAAGTCAGCTAACAATACATCTGCGCTATCTTCACATGCCACCTGCTCCTCACAAGTGATTCCTGCCGTTTCCACAGAGACTTTTGGATCAGAAATGGGAGATGACTCCAACCCGTCATGAACAAGATGGGAGGTGACCATGAGAAAACCTTCTGTTAACACGAGGGTATTGGCTTGTCAGCAGTGACTGGCGAGGGCGCTTGCTCTCTTGCACGGTGCCTATCCCAGGGGGTGCCTGGTCCCCCCGCACCGTGAGGCTAACTGAGAACTGATGAAGTGCATGAGAACGCATCGTTTAGAAGAGGATGCTTAGAAGCATTTTTGTTTCCTAAAGATGGGGTTTCACACCCATCATGGATGGCATCAAGGTGACTGGTTTGCATGACTCATGGAGCATTTCCACTTGGAACAGATCCTCCTGCCTGGCAAATGGATGCTTTGTCCGCTTAAGAGAAAATGGAACGCTCTGTTCTGGGTCCTGCACCCCCCTTCCTCCAGTGAAAGCCCTCTCTCCCCGTGTGGAATACGAAAGACCAATCCCTTCTCCATGGAGGGCAGAGCAAACTGAGTGGAAAATAGGAGTTGCTATATTTAACCACTGTGCATTATGTTGTTATAGCAACTGCATCCATAAAACGTATATCAACGATGCCACGTAAAAAGCGACATCAGGGTACCATTAGTTGAGCAATTCTTGTCAGTTCCATTCGGAAGAATGATCTGACTCCTCCAGTTTGCTTCCAGATGGCTGTAAACTCCGGGGCGAGTTCTAAGGGGAGCCGTGTGGAGCTTCGGGTTTTCTCATTGATGCCGGTTGCGTGCCCTTGAAGCATTGTGGTGGTGAGGTGCCCGGCTTGGATCTTCACTATGCCATGGGAAAGCTGATTTGTATTTTGGACACGTGCCCCAAAGAAGAAGGTATTTCCTGTCCCATGCTCATGGCCCCGAGTCTGAGACGTACTCGGGTACCGAGCTTCATTACATGCAACTTCAAATAGGTATCCCCAATGTCTGCTAACCGCATACCCTGCAGGCCAAACGCCCTTTGAGGCTGCAGACTGCGGAGTTGCCTGATGCCGTTGGAACCCCAGCTCAGGCTGGATTTGTACAGTCTGGTGGCAGGTTCTACAGATGATTAGGTGGAGGGGGACACGTGGCACCCCGCCCCCTTTGTACTGGACACCCACTCTTCCCTCACCGAAAGAGAGCGTGGGCCCGCGTCTGATCTTACCTCCCTTTGACACGGCCGTGCCCCATTCATTTCCATGGCATTACTCCTGATTTACCCCATGCAAAGGCAAACCTAATGCAGCCTTATGGCTTCTCATGTCGCTCTCCTCCCCTCTCCTGGAAGCCTCTTGGTGCCTCCTGGAGAAGGTTTTCCTGGGCGGCTCATTCGGAGGGATTCGGTTGCTAGCTCCAATCTCACGGGGTGACGAGACTTTGAAAGGAAAAACCGCGGAGGCCTGAGCATTTTCCTTCCGGTGCTGGGCCCTCCTGCTGCCGGCCGGCCTGCAGAGCAGAGGGTGTTCTGTGCTGTACTTGGCCGGCTTTCCTAGGACACAGGGAGAATCAAGGAGGTTAGAGACAGGCCTGCCATCTAAGGTCCCAGGCAGCCCAGCGAAAGGTCTCCCGCTATCTGTCTAGTGCTCTGTCCAGACTGTTTGCTTCCCCCCTTCCTTGGAGAAGCCACCCCATGGCTGTCACACGTCACCCTGATCACCAGCTTGTAAATGCCCTTTCGGAATCTCGCCTCTTTCCTGCTTCCAGCCCCTTCCTCCGTCTTCCTTGTGCCTCCTGCTGAGTCAGAAACACAAACTGAGCAGGAGGCACTGAGTTCGTCTGTCCTCAGCAAAGCTGTTTCCTTGGTAACGATGACCCTGCACAAACAACAGGAAAACGGCCCTCGGGGAATGGCCTCCCCCAGATCATTAAGACTTTAGCAGTATGTGCGGCTGATGGACGCTGCAGCCTTCCAGGCCACCCCCGCGAAGCAGCTCCCTCGTTTGTGAACTGGCAGCTCCCTGGCTCAGCCCGTCTTCCGAGTGGCGAGGCCCATGCTCTGTGCTAAGCTAGGAATGAGCGCCGCTTGTACGACTGTCCCGCCGTGTTGGGCCTCCCTGGTGCAGTTCAGGGCAGGGAAAATGCAGCTGGCCGGTGCAGTAGGGTGGGGGAGGTGTGTCGGATTGTAAACATCCAACATCTGGCAAATCTCTTGCTGTCTGTAACATCTCCGGGGCTCCTAGGAGACTGGCTGCACTTCCTGCTCCACGTCGATTTCATCTGATTAACAGGGCAGATTAGAGGACAGGAACCTAAACGGAACCCCAGCTGCGTGGTAAAGACGCACGGTTTGCAGGCTAGCAGGCAGTGCGTGTCCCCATGCGCCTTCGCAGACAGCCCAGGGAACACAGGGTAAGGTTTTCTCTTTCTCAGAGGGGGCCCTTTTTAGACTGAGTCCTGGATTTCATGGAACAGTTTCTCTCTGTGCAGAGGAGGGACCGTGACTCTGCGTCCCTCAGTGCAGCGCCCTTTTCTCCAAGTTCCCCGTGGGCCAAACCCTAAAATCCTCATTCGCTTCTCACTCTCTGGTGGTTTTCCTGGATGTGGCTGGTGGTCAGGGCAGCTCAGGAGCTGGCTTACGCACTGAGAGGTTGCCTGTGTATTGACTGAGTAAAACTAAGGGGAGCTGAGGCTGCAGGACCCTGGGGAATCTCAGGAACTGTTTAATGAACGGGTTCCTTGCGGGACTTCAGAGGCTCTTTGAATCCTCTGCTGCCGGGATCCTGCCTTTCCTCCCCCTTCCCCAGCAGGGGCTGTGGAGTCCCAAGAGTTCCTGTCTCGGAGCTTGCCTCTAGCAGAACAGAGGAGAACAGCCAGCGCCCTCTCGGCCTGGAAATTGGGCTGGGGCATTTTGGTGCTTGGGACGAGTTTCAGCACCAGGTCTGTGGCAGCATCACTTCAGAATAAGAACCCTCCTCAAGTCCTGCAGGAAACAGGCTGTGGACAGAGCTCCCGAGGGATCCCATTTGTATCTTCCCTTGTCATGACCTCATGCCAGACTCTTCCGCCGCCAGCGCAGCAAGTCCAGTCTGTAGCACAACGCTCCCCAAATGGCAGCACCAAGCTGCAGCCTCTCCCTTGCTTGCAAGGGTTCCCTGGAGAGAGCTGCCGGAGGGGCTGGACGATTGAGTTGGGGAGGAGTATTTCTTAGTAGATAGGGGCTCAAGGGGGAGCTAGAGCTTTGCCTCCCCTCTTGCTTTCTCTGCTAGCACAGAGCAGTCCCAGCTACAGCCCTTGGGGGTAGGAACGGGTGAGCCTGTTGATTTCTCTGAGGCATTACAGCCACGTGTCCTTTACAGTTAGGGTGTGTCTAGACTACATGCCTCCGTCGACGGAGGCATGTAGATTAGCCAGATCGGCAGAGGGAAAGGAAGCCGCGATTAAAATAATCGCGGCTTCATTCCCCTCTGCCGATCTGGCTAATCTACATGCCTCCGTCGACGGAGGCATGTAGATTAGCCAGATCGGCAGAGGGAAAGGAAGCCGCGATTAAAATAATCGCGGCTTCATTCCCCTCTGCCGATCTGGCTAATCTACATGCCTCCGTCGACGGAGGCATGTAGTTTAGACGTACCCTAACATTGCACTGGAGCACGCGAGATGGAAGTAATGACAGCAATAGAGCAACGCTTCCAGGGTGAAGCAGGGGATGGGGAATGCAGTGCCCCAGGCTGGAACAGAGAAATATGTAATTAAGCAATTGAAGGATGCAGTGCCCCAGGTCGGAGCACAGGG